TATCAAGGAAATCGAGCAATGGTTCTTGTAAACCAATTGGGGGTAAATTACCATCAGGTAAAGGTTCAAGCCAAGCACGAACCGCTTCAAGAATATTATGTTCTAGTAATGTTTCTGTCATATTAGCCCTAAAGTGTCATAATAACCATCAAATCAATCAATTGATAATTCAAAGAAAAAGTTCATTAAAGAAAGTAAATTAAGAAATACTTTGTGAGAATCGCATAAGCTTCCGGAAAGTAATCTGATTTAGCAAAGGATGACCTGTTAAGTCTGTTATATTCGATATCTTTGTCAGCTGCTTGGATCATTTTAATGTATAAATTAGCAGCTAGATCGTCATTGTATTGATCAAGTTCCTGTGTTGATGAATAGAAACAACTTTAAGAATTTGATAATTAAACATATTAAAGAAACATCAATTGTAACATAATAGAAATACACGTACAATATCATTCTTTCGTTTTCTCTTTCGTGGTGAATTACTCTTTAAAATTTCATCAAAGTGTTTGTCAACCTGCTTTCTGATAGCTAAAAAGAAGCTCATTCTTTTAATATTTGCTCGAATATTATTGTTTGAGAAATTCGAAGAAATCAACATACCTTCAAGAGGAGTCAACTCTTTACTATCTTCATCATCTTTTCCTTCTGACTTTTTACGTTTACTCTTTTTTGGTGCTGATCTATCAAAAAATTTAGAGCTAAGTGTCAGAGTTCACTACGGAGAACCAAAGAAAAAGTAATTACTTTGATTTTCTCCTTTCTTCAATTTCCGCCTCTTTTCCTTTCTCATTATCTTCCTCGTCCGAATCCACAACATATTTATCCGATATCTCAACATGACCAGATCTCTTTTTTTTCCCCTTAGATTTCGTCGCAGCTGCGGTTTTTCTGAATTCTGCCTCGTCAACATAGTCTTTATCTTTGTCATCTTCGTCCGGTCTTTTCGGTTTTTGTTTTACTGGAGACTGTTGAATTCTAGCTTTTTTAACTTTTTGTTTTGAATCATCTAGAATATTCAAAAACTCGAATTAGATATTAAACAGTGGTGAGAGAATAGGGAGTCCGTAAGCTTTCCAAGAGGTAAGATTTACCCTCGTCACTACTTAAATCTTCCAAATCTCCTAAATCCGAAAGATCACTTTCCTCACTACCGCCAAAAATATCTTTATACCGTTCCTCTAACTCCCCCTGGTCAAGCGCCTAAAGACAAGTAACATATCATTTAGAAATAGTCAAAAGTAGATTTCAATAATCATTTGTTCTATTCTACCTTTGGGCCAGTGACCGTTTCCTCACTTGCATCAGAAATAGTAGCAGAGGAAAGAGAGTTTGATCGTTGTTTACTTGTCATTTTCTCGCAGTATTCTTTCTATAATTTTAGGCTATAAATTATTACTCTTAAATTACTTGTAATATGGTAATACAGCACGAAAATTTATTGGCTGATCTATAAGCATTCACTATGAATTCCATATAAACATATATTTTATTACTTTGGATCATCTAATCGCTGAATACTCTCCAAGTTGAATCCAACGTTTCGCGTATAATTTCCCCATACTTGTGATAAAGTGACTATGTCACGATTGTATTCGTTGATTTCCTGTAAAAAAGTTAATGTCAAGTTAACGTGCCCGTAATGACCAAAGATCAATTCTTTCATGTGATTACGTTACTTGTAATCGCGCGGTAACTTCTACCATCACATCATTCAGTTTTTGCTTTTTGAATAATTTGGGAAAATTTTAAATTTTAGGCTTATATTTATCAGGCGCATGTCTTCAGAAAATATATATATGATATTACTCACAACATGAGACACGACACGCGTCAACAACGAATTTTGCTGTTCTTCATGCGGATTTACAGGGTTTCCTATCTTTTGTGGGTTGCTGACATTATTATTGTCGTTATTGTTGTTAGAGAATGATGTGGTTCTCGCGTTGTTCATTATGTTAATATCTAACAATCTTTTTGGCAAACTTTATCGTTTATATTAGTTTCGACATGCATCTATCAATCATGTGACGATTCAAAAAAAAATTTTTGGACACAAATCAATAAATTTTGCAGCGGAAAAGAAATGAAGATTACCACACCACGTTTTTTACATTCGCTTCCGCCAATTTCCTTGACCGGGTTTAGCACACCACCACTCCAACAACGACTACAACACCTTCGACCTGTTGTTCCAATACACCACCACATTTTTGTTGCCTCGTTTTCCCAAACAGTAATTTCCCAAGGCAAATTATCGAAATTCTTTAAAGAGATTTTTTCGCTGAATGACCCCGACCCAAAACCGAAGATAAATGATAGTTCAAGTAAAAATGTATATAAAACCTCCTCACAAAAAGCATCACCACCTCCGCAACCTTTACCACGCCAAGAAACAAAAAGAGCATTAGAGGATTACGAAGATGAAGACTTATTTGAGGATAATGATATGGATGAAGAGAAGAGAAAAAAGTTTGTTAATTTCTTTATTATTGGTAATTATGGATAACGACAAGATGGTCAGTTAAATATCCAAAAAATCATACAGAAACAAAAAATTGAATAAAATCCCGAAAAAGCTTCCAGCTATACCAACAAAGACCCCGCAAGAAATTCACAATATAATGTTCAATATCGTGATGAAGCATTGTCAGGGTAGAACAAATCAGGATGATTGGTTACAATTTCGATTCGATGAAGAACCATCATTGAAATTTAAGGTATGGAACATAACTAGCATACATGATATATAATTATATACGGGTGATCTTGTTATTTATCATTTTCGCAATCATGAACAAATTTGAAATCGGAAACCAAAAGATTCTTAAAGACTGTACAGCAGCAATATCCAGAGAGATTCCCAATTTTGAACTCAACAAGATGCGAACAGTTAACGACGTGATAAAATTTTACCTAACAGAACAGGAACCTGATGAACGATTAGGCCACCCTGTTGCCGATTGGTTTGAGAGAAATAAAGATAGATTGCCACCGAATATGCATTTCGTGCCATATGTTAAAGAAAGAAATGTACCGGAAAAGGAGAGAATGAGACCGAATAAACGAGAATTTTAGATTCATTATGTTTACTGGTCACTTTCTATAATGCTTTTACTGATTCTGTAATACAAAATGCATTTTATCTCTTGAAATCATACAAATTTTACCGAAAATTTCTAAATATGCCCTCTAGCCTGGTCTCGAGCTCTAATTATATACCCTTCCTAAATTACACCCTTCTATAAATGCACGCGGTCCCTTGGGAGGGGCTACACCTAGGAGGGTTTGTCGTTAGATGTATCTGTTTTTAAGTTGTCAGAAATTACCTGATTTTTAGTGTGTAAGTTCATTTTTGATCAACATAATACACATCCTACTATAAATTACTAGACAATCAAAATAAAAAGTAAAAGCATAATAAAATACGAAATTTCTTTGCATATAAATGTTTATACTCTTATTAATAAATCTTTCTTATTTTTATATCAAAATACTGAAAAAGTTGCTCTAATTGTAAAGTCACAAGAAAGATTTATTAATAAGATTAAAAACATTTATATGTAAAGAAAATTTATGTTTTATTTGATAGTCTAGTAATTTATGGTGAAAAATTATATCCGGTTTTGGGAATCTGGGTATGGCACCTCGATGTCTCACTTGGTACTTTATTCAACAATGGAATGGATTAGCATGCGATCTGGAGATTATGCAATTATACATAATGATAACCAATGAAATTGTTAGTTTTTTAAAATCCGGTCTGGATAGTGCACATATTTATCATAGCATTCATTGTGAGAGAAATGTAACCAACATACAATTAGAGGATATAAAAGAATAAGCTGAGTTCAAGTTTGATTAGAGATTTGAATAAAAATTCTTTTTCAAATATTAGAAGTTTCTTAATTATTACTACTTCTATTGTCGAATAGGTGGCGTATAATTTCGTATGACCATGTGATTACAATAAAATTTGGGTTAGATCTTAAACAGAAAACTGTGTAATATTTTTCTTTCGAAAACCGTCATCCGCTATAATTACTTAGATGCTTATTTGGTTAAAGATAAAAAAAATGGGTCTGGTACGAAATCCCGAATCACGAAATCTCGAATGGACGACAGAATGAACGAAAGCCTGATCCCGTGATAATTTTAGTATTTCATGCATTTTGGGATACTTTAGGGATTTCGATGTTGTTCATTTGGGATATCATTCATTCGGGATTCCGATCTTTCGGGATGTCGTCCATTCGAGATTTCGTGATTCGGGATTTCGTACCAGACCTTAACATATTTTTTGGGCCATATGATATACATTTAGGGGCAAAAAATTTTGACAATGAAAATTCAATGAAAACTAATACTTTTTCTTTATTAATTAATTTATGGACCAATCTTATATCTCTTAGTCTAAGAAAAATACATGGATGATAAAGCTTTACAGATGCGAGGGTGCGCGTGGGTGTTTAACAGTAAAATTGTAAACGTCACAGAACTAAATAGATAGAAGGGAATCGATTAACTATTAAATTAAGACTTCTATAGAAATTTGAGAGGAAAAGGTTTTTTATATCAACGATATGCGTCCATGAGGACTTCCGTAGTATTATTGTCATTAGATGTATATGATTGGTTATTAAATGGATTTGTAGTTCCATTTATAAAATTTTGCGCAATGGTCCCCGCTTGTGGATTTTGTGGTTGTGGTTGGTTTTGTATTTGATTTTGCTGGTTTTGTTGTTGGTTTTGTTGTTGGTTTTGTTGTTGGTTTTGTTGTTGGTTTTGTTGATTCATTTATGTATATATATATGTATATATATATATATTAACAAAGTTTTGGTGTTGACGTTATTGTTGTTTTTTCTTGAGAAAGCGTTCCTTATCGTTATTTGAATAAAAAATTCTTGAGAATTTTTTTTGATTACCGTTTGGTGATATCTGTTGTATATAGTTAAGATAGATAGTAAAGTAAAGAAGAAAAAAAAGGCGTGTTAATTTTATACTTAATGAAGTGACGAGAGATAAACAAGAAAATACCTTTTAGAGAGTCGCGTTGAAGGTGAAAAAGTATCTACTATAATATGTAAGAAGCGGTAGAATAATATACAGATAGATAGAAATACAAAGATATTCTTGATATAACGACCCTTCGATATAACTAAGTCTAATTAAAATCGCGATATAACGGACTTGAGTTCAGGAACAATTTATTATAAACGATATAATAATTCCGCTCGATATAATGTATAATGAAGTTTTTGAAATTTTTACATATAGACCTGACTACTTCGTTATATCAAGAGTGGCTATATATGATGTATTTGTTGAAATATCAAGTAAAAAAGCAAAAAAGAAAAAAAGGCGTGTTAATTTTATACTTAATGAAAAAAAAGGTGTGACGAGAGATAAATAAGAATAGAGAGTCGCGTTGAAGGTGAAAAAGTATTTATTATAATATGTAAGAAGAAGCGGTAGAATAATATACAAATATATTGAATAGTATATTGACTTTGACTTCAATATAAACTACCAATATAGAAGAGAAGTATAGTTAAGATAGATAGAAATATATATGATGTATTTGTTGAAATATCAAGTAAAAATCAAAAAGAAAAAAAGACGTGTTAATTTTTATACTTAATGAAAAAATGGATGTGACGAGAGATAAATAAGAAAATATCTTCTAGAGTCGCATTGGTAAAAAGTATTTACTATAATATGTAAGAAGAAGCGGTAGAATAATATACAAATATATTGAATAGTATATTGACTTTGACTTCAATATAAAC